CTTTCCCTATATATTCTGTCAAAAAGATTGAAACTAATCTTGTTTATAGTATTGTGATGGTTATTAGATGAAAATGTTTTTGAACACACAACAAAAATCGAATTCAAGATTTTTCACAAATAGATTGTTCTCACAACATATAAATATAGAATGTCTAACTATTACATCCACTTATCGCATTACATCATATCACCTAACGATTAACTACCAAGTTATAGAATTTGTCATAACAATTGTAATAATAATTTTGAATCTGGGCTTGTATCTCGATTACCAGTTTCGTGAAATTGAAAAAAGCTATAACTATAGCCAGACCTTTAGCATCACGTTGCTTTAAGATGCTAATTAAGGGGACAATCAGACATGTCCCAGTTGCACTCTTCCTCTTGTCTTCTACCCCTCTCAGGTGTATCATTCTAACTTGCAATGCAAACCATTAAATGCTTCGCATTGGGAAACCCTCACTGGTCAAGCCTCAAGACAAGTGGCAATAAAAAGACTAAAAAAAATAATAGCTACGGATTAGGATGCCACTTCATCAAAGTCACTTTCCACTTTGGAAATTCAGAACAATCACTTGCCACTAGCTTAACTAATATTTCCTGCAGAAATTCAAGACTAAGTTATGTCTCTTAATGGCAACTATTATTAATCTAGGAAGATTGTGTAAGATGCAAAATCCTATCAGACCCACAGGAAAAGTTGTTGGAACTTAGATTATCACTGATCAAGACTTTCACCAAATCGATCTCTATGTTCATCTAGCAGACTTTATGACAAATTGTTGACAATGACATGCTAAGTTACCCCAGCAGATTGTACAGTATAGCACATCGTTTTAAGTAGCTTCTTTAAACACCAATTTTATGAACCTAGTCTAAATCGATATAATTGTTAGTAGAATCATCTGTCCCTTCATGCTGTATACTGTATATTCTATTAACCTCCAATAATTGTTATAATATTTATAGGATATGCAATACAAATTTTGTTTATTTTCATTATAATTTTTCTTCTAGATTAAAAAATAACAAGTATAATTATAATATAACAAAAAAGTTCGATTATTTTTTCGCTCTCGTTTCATGAAAAATTTCATTATAGTATAATGATGTTAAATAGAATGATCGGTCAATCTATAGATTTTTTTCACTATCATTTATTAATATGTATAATAACTAATGTCTAGCTCAATTAGTTAGTTGGATAGTGTTAGTTATTATAAATCTTTTGGTAATAAATTTAATTTTGATGGTCAAAAGAAATTAATATGTATAATGAAATTTTTAGACGAATTTTTAAAAGTTTTCCTTCAAGATTATGATGATCTTTGGAAATATTTTTAACTTATTGAATTTAATTTTATTCATCATAATCATTTATGAATTAAATTTTAATATTTTAAAATAAATTATTAATATTTAAAAATAATTTTATTTTGTAATATAAATTATTTATCATAAATTTAAAAATAAAATTTGTATGTTTAAAATATTTATTTATACAAAATTTAAATATAATTTATATTTTTTAAAATATATATATATATAAATTATATATTCAATTATAATAATTATTCGTATATATAATTTATTATAAATTTTAGTTATATATAATAAATATTTAATATGTGTATTTCACATGTTAAAATATTAATTATTTTAATAATTATAAATAGAACAGTTGTAAAGTTATTAACCATGTAAAAATCTTTAAACAAACAGTATGAAAATTATATAATTGTAATGAAAAGAGAGAGGAAAACAAAAAACAATAGAACTCCTCCTTTTCTTGTAGACAGGATAATTGAAGAGATAATAAGTTGCAGTAAAAACTAATTGAAACCGATTAGGAGCATTGAGCCTCTGGACATAATGAAGGGGCAAACATTCTGGTCCAATGGTTAGTGCATTGGTGGGACCATTTCATGCGATGTTCCTTCGCTGGTTTGGTTGCTAACATTTGTGTAGTTTCTGTTTCATCATCGGCAACCTTTGTTTTCTAGCACTTCAGCTTTGCTGGGCAGTTAAATGATCTTAGCAACTGAGACATAAAATAATACTCGTGTCCATTTCAAACCACGCCATAATAAGTCACATATCTAGAAATTATCGAAAGGGAAATTTCCTTCTTTTTTTTTGTTGTCTTCTTAGCACACCATATTTAAAGAAATAAGACGTTCAAATCGTTGCGACGGCAAAGCAAGAAAAAGGAAAACAAAAAAAAGTTGAAAAAAAAACTCTTAAAAATTTGTGAAAAAAAGGATTCTAGAGAGACTAGTGTTCCCTCTCTAGAGATAGTTCAAGGGGAGAATTTTGAATCAAAACCTTTATACAAAACCTCTCTCTTTCTTGAACCATCTTCACATATCCTCATGTGTAGAGGAACACTAACTTGCACTGCCACATCTTCTTTAGAAACTTCTCTTCCTCTTGAGGTGAAAAATCTTTTGAAAGAATTTGGCGATTGTAGACCCCTAAAATTGTCCGGGTCGGAAATAAAGCTTGAAGACTCTCGAAGACCAAAGGAAAGTCAGCCGGAAGGACTCCTGGAAGACCCTGGAAGACCCTAGGATGACAATCTGTAGGTTTAGAGGTCTTAGAGTAGCAAAAAATAAGAAAGTGGAGGGAATGAAGCCCAATACGGCCTCCCA